CTGCTCAGACAACATTAGAGATAAAAGTTATCAAACACAGTTATTTTGTCAAACAGGATGTTGTGGGTTGTTAACAGTAACAACATCTGTACAAACAGGTTGTGTGACTACAGTACATTCTGAAGTGTCAATGTGACAACATGCGGTCAGATTTGTGTATATAGTTCAGTTTCAAGTATACAAACGGATATTCAATCGCATAGCTGCATTTATTTTACAACCTCCAAGAAAATGTGCGCACAGGTAGAACAATTGAGAGTTGTTTTACTTTGAAGCGCAGCAGATGAAAGAAGGAGATGAGATCTATGGGCTTTCACAGAATATGTTCACTTGTCTGTTAAGAGGCAGATGAAGAGACACCTCCATCAGCCGGTAACTCAAAACAAGATGACCAGATGTTTTCAGAGGAGACTTCTCATCAACATTTATACTTTAACATTTGTCTTAATTAATAAACCTAAACTCAGCGACACATGAAGTTTGGACTAAATACTGCCGTCTGACCATTTGTATTGCATCAGCTGACATAATTAAATTAAAAATGAGCCCTTAAGCAAAATATAAAAACCTTATCAAACTCAAACTTTGATCTGTTTTACCATAAGAGCCTACACATGTTGCTATGCTAAACTATAACTACATAACAACTTTCCATTAATGCTTGAACATACATATCCTAAGTGAACAATATCCTTAAAACCCAGACGTCCAAAACATTATCATGCTGCACAGAAAAGGACAAAACCGAAAAGTTTCCGTGGTCAAGTTAAGCATACTTGATCCAAAGCCTTATTGGAAGGCAAGGCCATTCAACACATCGATTGGGCGAACATACGATTCTCCGCGCACTGCAGCACTGACCTTTATTTGTTGCGTCCTCAGAAGCAAGACACCATGACAACTGAAAGACTGGGTGGAAGATGACACGGGTGACGGGACCTGCGGTGGGCCACTCAACGGCGGTATCTCTCTGGCGGGCGTGGGATCCACTCTTTGGGGTCACGCTTCATAGTTATGGGCCCCACCGAGGGTGGATCTCCTCCTTCGCCTCATTCAGTTTGGATTCAGCTCATCACCTGCCGGGAGAGTACAGACACGAGTTAACAGTGTGGAGGCAGAACGTTAAGACATACATACATACATACATACAAACATACATACATACATACATACGGAGGTAATATCAACAGGGAGGATATACATAGAACAAGAGTTCTTAATAGTGAGCTGAAGTCTGCATTTTAAGTGTTTAACAGTTGGATTATTGATTAGACTTTCTTTTGATTTTAACAGTGGATTCATCAGTGACGTCATGAAGCATTCACAAGACTACAATCCCCAGGAGCATTCTTTGAGGAGAAAACACCCACAAACCTTCTTTTGTAATCTGATGACTGAGGTCCATTTCTTTTCCAAAAGGCCGGCGTACTTCTTATCCAATTCCTCGTTCTGTGGAGGGGGGGGAAACAGAAATAAAAAGGATATCAGGCCAACATTCAAAGAAAGCTAATCAAAGTGGTGGGTTCAGCATTATCGGGGAGGCCTATGGGAGAGAGGCCAGCTGGGGTGGCAAGCTGAGGTCTTTGGCTGTAGTAAGAAACAACAGGGAATTATTTACACGCCCCTCACAGTCCAACACTGACTGGCAGACACCGCCAACCTACTGTACAACACATACATACTACACACACATAAACACACACCCTAGTCCTAATCATACAGGCTAATCTCCAGCAGACAAGAAAGGCTTAGGCCGCTTACAGCCACACACCCGGTACAGGAGCCAGCGTGGAGGTTAACTTGTGGCAGACCCGCCTGATTCCACCGGCAGGCGAACACCACAAGCTGTCCACTAGCTTTTACATAACAGACCCAATGGATGGCATACACTGGCTGTTTGTTACTGCCAAGACACAAAACAATGTGGTGGCATTTAATAACTGGCATTACAAATAATTGTTTACTTCATCAGTTTTCCAGTCCTTTGTTCTGTCACAAAAGTAAACATTGTGACAAATGCCCTTCCACTCTTTTCCCAGAGCCTTTGGTGTAATATTCTTTAGTTGCTTTGTACAATAGTTTGTTCAGCATTGATATTTTTAAGCATTGAATAATTGGTTAAAACTCTTACCAATTTATTTTCTGTTAAGGATTTGTGTGTTGGCTCGAAATTCAATCCAAGTACTCAAATGAGCTTTTAGATAAGATGGATAAATGGATATATACTTTATTGATCCCAATTTGGGAAATTCTTTCGTTACAGAAGCAGCAGTGTGTTCAGACTTTTTATTTTTGTCATCGTTTATTCTTGATGGTCTTGATTTCTGATTGAATTGTTAGTGTTCATATATCACATATTTTAAAATGTGAGTCAGTCATTCCCTTAAAAATAACACAAACACAGGCAACCAATAAAAAAAGAAAGTAAAGATATATTCTATACCCATATAGACCAAGCGTTATGCTGCCACTGTGTAAAACACTGCCTTGAGGCTGTTACTGACTTTCAAGGCATCAAGTACCCGCATTGACAGAGAGCCACGAGTGTCAGTGAGGGAGAAAATTAGTGTTGCGCTCCAATTTCACAGCTAGCTCCTCAAGCCGCGACTGGAAACAAAAGAAGTCCTGGAGGTGTGGGGAGCTGCACGCACCACCGATGCTTATATTTAACACTTCTCAATGACAAGGGGCGAGTCCTCAGACTAACATGAGGTGCATGGAAGGACAAAGACAAGAGGCACTGCAGTGAAATGAAGGAGAAACAAAACAGAGGCAGAGAAAGAAACCAGTTTGGAAAAGCCTGCCATCATCTAATCTGCCATCTGCCTGGAAACTCTGCCCAACACACACAAAGACGGACACACACATATGAAGTGCCAGACTGCAGCCTGCCAGTCTGTTGACAGTGGATAGTATACGTGTGTGTGTTTGTATGTGCATGCAGGAGTGTATGGTTTCTTTTATAGAGCCAGTAAAAAACTTAAGCAGTATGACTCCCATTTATTTTTCCCAATGTGCACATAGCATCAATTAGCATTAACCTTAAACTGATACTCAAATAGCCAACTAGGGCAAAGATGAAGAAGATTAAATTCCCTCTAAAGACAATCTAAATGGACTTGAAAAATGGCAAATCATGTGGCCTCAAGGAAAAAGCTAAAATAACTTGGTTGATGTTTAGCATGGTGCTGCCAAGGTGTGTGGCTGAGGGCTGATACCCAACAGGGTGCACCTTTCCCTCCGTGCCATTCATCCATTATTCAGCCGGCTTCCACAGAGAAAACGTCTGGAAGAAGAACGGATAAAGACAGAGGAGCAGGGGGTGGGGTGTCACGTGAACACAAGGTGAGAAAGGTGGTGCTATAGAGAGGTAGAGGAGAAAAGACTCTTAGATAAAAGAGCCTTAGATGAAAGGGGGTTGAGAGGAATCAGTGATAGCATTTCCAACTGGAGTACGAGGTGATATATCCAATGAGCACCTGAAACTTTGGAAGCACGGGAATCAAATTTAAGGAGCACAATTTGTTAAAATATAAAAAATTCCCACAGCTGCTTTATTGTTTGGCTCTGAATTAAAGTCCTTTAAAAAAAAATAAAAAACATATACAGGAAACACGAGGTTTAAGTGTGGACTGCCATCTTTAAATTGTGACTGAGGGTGTTCACAGCTATATCAGCAACAGAATCTAAATTGTATGAATAATTTACAACATTTTAAGATAATGGGATATCTGTGTTGAACAAAGCAGCCAATGAAAACATTTTTGACATACCCTTAACTTGACTAGGCATGTCCTTTAGATGCTTAAGATGAACGAAAGCCTTTATACAATGCTAAAATAAAAAATACATGACTAAAATATGAGTATGTATGTGTCTCCCATCTCCACACTTCCTATCTCGTTTCAATGCGAACACCCTAAAAAAGGTTGTGTTTATTTCACAGCATTCATTTGTACAGGTTTACCTTATAAAATAGCCCAAAGTATTCCCAATTAAAACCCAACAAAATGCCATTTGATCAGAAAAGCAAGGGCAATAATGTAAACACATATACATACAGTATATGTCACAGTGCTTTTAAAAATGCCATTTTTAACAAATAAATAAAAGCTGAAGATGAATTGGCAGCAGCATGTAGCATAGACCCCCCCCGATGAGAGATAACCAACATAATTGGGTGCAGGTGCTCCCGGTCACACACGTGAACAACATGTTGAGTAAAATGAGAAAATAAAGTGGAAATCAAGGCATACTGTTTGTACAAATTGGTCTGATTGGCTGTGCGGATGTGTGTGTGTCCACCCTTAATATACTCACATTATCTAATTCCGCCTCCTTCTTGAAAGTGGAATATGCTTCTTCATATCCATTGGAGCGTAGATAATCGGCTATCGCCCGATTTCTGCAACAGACAAAGAGGACCATAATTAGTTCCCCAGACTAACAGACAAGATAGTTGTTAAAGTGCCACGAGAAACGACGAGATTAATAGAGTTTTATTTAACACTGTAAAGACAAAGACAGGAAATTAGCATGTTCAGGAAACGTGTCAGACAAGGTGTACATTTCACACATTCAGACTGTTATCACGGCGCTAGCTGTAGAATAAAAATGCTTTGCATGCATAAATGTAACACGCATAAATGACACACACACACACACACACACACACACACACACACACACACACACACACACACACACACACACACACACACACACACACACACACACACACACACACACACACACACACACACACACACACACTCTTGTTGCTTTGGGCAAATAAAGGGAATGGAGGACTCCCCATGGTGTAGATAAGGGGGAAATGATAGTCAGTCTATAACCCAGCATTACCTTCATCAAAACGGAAAGACAGACAGAGAGATGTTGGATAGTACTGAAACAAATTATTTTATTTCATTATAAATAAATTCTGTTTCTTAAAGTCCAATGTAATTTCTTTAAATGATAGTTAGATATAAACAGATAAAAGAAGGAAATATTTCTATTTAAACAGCTGAGAACAGCATTTACTGATATTTGTGCATTTACAATGATTCCTATCAATACAAATGGCTATTTTTTCCCTGCTGCTTGACCTTCCAACAGTATTAATGATACTTGCAGCTCTTAGAGATCCTTGAGTATTTCCATTTTACTCCAGTTCATATTTTTTTCGTGCACAAGCTCCCAGATAAACTTAAGTAGACATCTAAAAAGACACCTTTCAGAAAGCCGACACAAACATGGCGGGGACGGGAGCAGGGGTGTGTTTTTGTCCTGCTATTTCAAATATGTGCAGAGAGATGTTGAGATAGGACAGACAATAGCCTAGACAGGCAGAGCTGAAGGTGAGGAGAAAGGAGGCTGTCTTCACTCGCCCTCTTTTTGTCTCCTGGCCTGCCATAAGGGACGACCCACACACTTACACACAGCTTAGATACACAATCACACACATGAACAGTTCAGAGTGGTTTCAAGACCGCAGCCTCGGCAGCAGTTCAATGTATCAGGAGTTATGAGCTTTAAGTCAGTCTCAATACTGTTCATTCTTAAATCTAATTCGATTTTTGTGAGGGGGAAGAAAAGTCAATTATTAATTAGAATTTTTGTAATCAAAATGTTCCACTAAGTCTAACTATAGTTCATGATATGTTGTGTTTTTATAACTAGAGTAAGAACATACCTTGATTCAGGCATGCAAGGACTAAATAGTATCATATCAAAATGTGATGATATATCATATACATCTGCTTACTCTTTAGTGTTTACCAGTGGCTCTTCCTATCCGGGACATTTCTGGGAGCCTTTGGGCTAAACACATGTAAACCCTGAGCCAATAAGCAGACCATTCTTAAACTCAGGTTGTTTAATATCACCCCGTTGTCATGCCCCTCATTCGGTTTACATTTTTCTTTACTTTTTAAGTTGTCGTTATAGTTTGCATTTACAGTCTGGGCTTGGCCAAAAATGACTTGAAAATGTGGTGAAGAGCACAAATAAAGAAACTGAATTCTTGAATGTTTGATAACAATTTATTTTGACCCTATTTATACAGTATTTCCTTGATTCCTCCTGTGTTTGCTCACAGTAGATCCAACCACTAATGCCAGGAAGATCCAGACAAGCTGTCAGCCACGCAAGGCTTTGAGGGGCCAATAAGGAGGGGGTTGGGGGTGCAATCTGTCAGCCTTGCCTGTGTCCCCTGTGCCCTCTCGGTCAGCGTTGAGAACTGAAACCCCCGTCTCCCTCTGCCCACCTGAATCCCCATGACAACAGGAGCAGGCCTTATTACAGCTCAAGGTTAGCAGGAGGTTATCTTCTCCTGTGACAGCCTGCCTGCCGCAAGTCTGGAAACCAGAGGGGAGGGTGCGCTAGTTTGTCTGAGAAAGTGTATAAGCAGGTGAGAAAAAAGCTGCGGGTGAGGCTAGCTGAGGCAG